ACAGTGCCCTGCCACAGTCATTTAATCGTATTTGCGGAGAGGTGACGTTCTTGAATGGCAGGCACTAAGATTATTTTGTACTGCAGTCAGAGAAAGTTGCTTCCACCGTGGTCTGGATGAAACGCCGAGAACTGATCAGTATTAAGATAAATATCCGTTAGTGTATTTAAATGTCTCCTGTTGGCACGACCAGGAGTAGCTGTCACCCACGCAATGTCGATGTGAGAGCGCTTGCTTTCATCTGTCTGGTGGCAAATTTAGGCTGTACCTGGAAGCTGCTGATTTTTTTTTTCTTTGTAGAAATGATGGCTCATTTTTTTAAAACTAAAATAGAGGGTTCTCGGATGCTGCTGCCTCGGTGGAATGCCATTGCTTTGTCAGGGTGTGCCCCAGTTGCAGCAAAATGCTGCTTTTTTGGTGCCTTTCTTGTCAGGATGATTCTTTTTGGTTTCCAGAACACCCGGTGCATTTGCTCTAAGTCTTTCTCCCAGTCTTCTGTCCTGGTGACTCTGCCCTCTCCCAGCCTTGTGACTTGGTGTCTCTCTTGTCTGTTATGGTATGGCCTGACCTGCATTTATGCCCTGCCACACCTTGAGTTCTGCTCAGAGCACCCGAGGTACTGTCTTTCCCAAATTGGAATTAATAATTAATATAAAAAGCTTGAAGAAAAAAAAAAAATCTGAATTTTGTTACATAGTGTAATAACTGTTTGTAGATACTGTTTTGAGATGTAGGAATCTATTGGTGATATAAGAGGTTTTGTCTGTAAATAATCAGTTTAGAGTCCAAATGATTTTAATAAAGAGAATTCTTACACAATAATTCAATAAATTTTAATATACAACCTGCGTGTCATGCTTCTGTTGCATGATGATGCAACTGCCTAGAGGCTGTTTCCCACAGTGGGAACTGTGTAGTCCTGAGCCCCAGCACTGGGGGGCTTTTCCCTCCTGTCCCCTCCATCCTCTGTGAGGTATCAGTTGTGTTTCTTGGAAATAACCTTGTGCCACCTTCCACTGCTGGCTCCTACTGTTCCAGAGCTCGTTCCCATCTCCTGCCGCAGGAGCCAGGCTGGGAGTGGGGCCCTGGGCCCCGTCACAGCTCTCTTGTGGTTTTCTACAGTGGGTAAGCAGGGAGGGGATTGCTTAAGGTACAGTTTTTAGTGATCGCTGCTGCCCACCAACATGAGGCAGGAACCAGCATTCCTAAATTAGCAAAACAACTTCCTTTTTAAAGGAGTTTACTGTTCTTTGTAAGGCTTCTGGCTCCTCTATCCTGTCTTCCCTTCCCTGTGCTCTTCCCTTACTAGCAGAGTTTTGGATACAGTCTGTGCCTCCCCCCTCTCACCTCCTTGTTGTCCCTGCGTGTTCCCTCCGTGTGTGTGGCCACGATGGCCTTGTGACAAATCACTTGCCCCCTGGCCTAGGGCTGCTGCTGCTCCCCCTCTTGGTTATTAGCAGTGCAGGGCGGGGTGGTGAGCAGAGGGGAGACAGCCCCGGGGGAGCAGCGCTCCTGGCCCCCATCTGCCACAGAGCAACGGCCGGGCAAGTGTCAACCCTTTGCTTCAGGGCTGGGGCTTGGTCTCTGCCATCCCACTGAGGAAACCTGAGCTTCCCCAACACCAGGGCCCCAGTGAGGGGGTAGCCAAGGCAGGCCCTGCTCTGGCGCAAGGCTGCGACATTAAAAAAAAAAAAAAAAGTTATTTTTATTGTGTGTGGTGGTTTGTACCTCGGTGCTGCGGGGATGCTCAGGTCCCACCTCGCTGGGGCAGGGCTGCCAGACGAGTGGGACTGCAGGGAGGATGCTGCTGCCGTGGCTGCTCTCCATGAAGAGGCTCTGCGATCACCGGCGCCACACTGCAACGGTGCTGGGCTGTGTGGGTATGGCTGGGGGAGGCTGCGGTGGCTCAGGGTGGGCAGCGTGACCCACGTGTGGGCCTGGGGAGCCTGTTCCCTCTGCCAGGCACAGGCTGGCGATGGCTGGGCCCAGCAGGAGATGGTGCCATGGCAGAGGCTGGGCCACAAGTCCCACCGAGATGGTGCTGAGAGCAGTGGGAAGGGCCCAGCAGCCCCACAGTTTGGTCTGGTGGAGTAGAGGGGAAGGATTTCTCTTTTTCCATCTCAGTAGAGCTGTGAATTTCCCTCTATAAATAGTTGCTGTGGAGACTGGAGCTGTAGTGGGCTGACAGACCTGCTGCCAGGGAAGCCGGGGGAGGCAGGGAGAGGCCAGCAGTAAAGTGAACCCACCGCAGCTGTCCTAGGGCTCCTGCTATCCTGAAGCCAAGGTTGTTCCCAGAAGCAGCGCTGTGACCCGATACCCTGCCCCGCTCCTCGCCACGTCCACCCAGCAATGCAGAAGAGCTTGGGCTGCTCAAGGACACCCCTCCCGGGTAGCACAGACTAAAAGGAGAGCAGGACCAGCTGGTCTCTCACTTTGGGGAGCTCCACAATGAGCCAGCTGAGGAACGGAGCGGCGTGCCCTGCCTGCGAGCTGCTGCAGGGTAAGTCTGTGCAGGGCCCCTGGGGCTCGGACCCCGCGCGCTGACAGGGCTGTTTTATGCTGCACGTTGAGCCTTCTCGGGGATGTTGCTGCACTCATGGAGGGCTCCTCGGGTCGGTGCACGCGATGGAGGCACACGGGGCTCCGCTGAGCTCTGCGACTCCAGAGGCACAGGCTGACTGGTGGTGGGCAGCTCCTGGTGCAGGTCAGCGGAGGGGCCCAGGCCAGAGGCAAAGCACCGCTCCCCACCCCCGGCTCTCACAGATCGGTACAGATTTAGGCTGAAGGTCTCTGACCTAGTCCAGGCTTGTAACAAGCCAGTAGGTTCTGCTCAACGTAGCTTTAAATGACAAATTAACAATTGTTTTTAATGTTCGAAGTCATTAAGCGATGAAGGACTTCAAAGTGTTGATCATCCTTTCTCGCAAAGCTCAGAAAAGTACGTTTCACTCTCCTAAGTTGCATAGCAACGCTCCTCATCCTTTGCCAGTGCATCCATCTAACGAGCGTGGATGGAGGGAAAGTCTCGCACACCTAAGGACGGACTCGCCTTGCCTCTGCAGCGAGAGGGATGCCAGGGCCCAGTGAGCTGCCCAAAAGCTCCATCAGCCTTAGTGCTAGGACATGTTTTGCACTCTGAGACTCTCTCTGAGTCCTGCTTTCCCACCGAAACCTATTACCCTAACAATCCACCCAGGGAAGATGCTGTTGAACTCCCATCTCCACACACTTTTCAAGTTGTCTTTTGGCAGGTGAATGGTGAACAATATCATAAAGCTTTTAAGGCTATTGCCCAGCTCTCAGATCAGGCCCTGCTCTCCAAATGATGAGGTTGAAGAGGGTTTGGGCAGATTCTGATGGTGCAGGAGCTTGTGACATTACTGATATGCTCAGTCTGTGAACAAATAAGGAAAATTTGGATTTTATCTGTTTCATAGCTAAGACATTAGTAAGTACTTGCTGAAAAGAGTGGCCATACAAACATGCAACATCCTGAAGGTTATGCTTAAAAGAGACTGATTCTGAACAGTGTGAGTGCCAAAGTCAGAGGTGTAGGGGCTTGGGTGAATGGAGCAACGTCAGCTCTGGCAATCTGGGTTGCTCCTGACAGGATCGGAGTCTTGAGCGCAGTCGGAGCCTTAATTAGAACCGTGCTGGGAGAGAAGCATCTGCATGGGGAAAGAAACTTTAGTCTTCTGAGGAAGTCACGCCTCTGTCTCAGCACCTCGAAGTTGTTACTGTCCCAGAACAACTCCCTGCTGCGTGGGTCCTGCTGCCACCCCCACTGCCAGCCCACTGTAACTATTTCTGAAAACGCTCCAGTGCAGTCGAACATTTAGCTATAGTGACCTGATTTGAAGGATTTAAAGGTCAATATTCCTACCAGTGCTAATGGTCTACTGGGATCATTATCACCTGGCAGTGCATGTTAACCTGAAGTTTCAGCCATGCAGTAAGTGCTATTCTCAAATTATTAATGCTGGGTTGGGAGTACCCCAGCTACAGCAGCTTACATGGATATTTCCATTAGCAACACGGGGCTCTGGGTTGCTATTTCAGGTGACCGGTGCTGAAGCCAATTCTACACCGGTGCTGCAGGGTGGGGGGACAGCAGTTGCATCAGTCCATCTACACTGTCTCGGTGTTTGTACCTCAGGCTGTCATAGTAACAAGCTCTGGGAACAGCCTCCCCCCTCTGTCACAGCCTCTCGCTACGGCGTCATGGGACAGTCAGTGATAAAATAAACCTGTGCTCTGGTCCCGGGGTGGGCTGCGGACAGATGTGCAGCGCTGTGGTGTCTAAACCGTAGGTTCTGCTTCACACCCATCTGGAGCGTGATGCCGCTCCTGCCAGCGACAGCTCAGACGTGTCCCCTCCTCAGCCGGGACGGGGATGGGGAGCCGGTGCTTTCCCTGGCCACAGGAGGGGATCCCACAGTCTCTGCTAAGCCCCTGAAAATCCACACTGGGCACAGGGAAACCTGAGACTCCCACCTGGCCCTGGCCTTGGCCCAGCCACACACACTGCCAGGATCCCAGTGCAGCCCCAGCCTGCCAGCTCTCCTCTTCTGGCCTCTTAAAATAATCTCTGCCTCCGTGAAGTGCCAATAGTGTTTGTAACAGCCCAGTTCCAAGCACCTGATGAAGCAGATGGGGGGGAAGGAGGCGAGGGCACAGCAGGAGTAGAAGAGGGAAACAACGTGCACAGCACACGGCAGGGGTAGGGCTGCCCTGCAGCATTCCAACTCTCTTTAAAGGAGAAAAGTGCTGAAGATCAAACCACCAGTGCCCGTTTCTGCTGCGTTGCCAGGCCATGGAGCAGCGGGTGCAGGAGGAGGTGCCAGCAGCCCAGCGCACAGGTCAGTCCTCGGGTGTGCAGCTCCAGAGCTGGGACCGTGCCAGGCTCTTCCCAGGCCAGAGGAGGCCACTGGGATCTGTCCGGCCGTTCCTGCAGAAGGATGGTTGTCCTCAGCTGCTCTTTCAGTCCCAGACCATTTAGAGAGGTCAGTAATGACTCTTGGCAATGGTCCCTGCAGGAGGCCACCACCCCGTGCGGGAAGGAGAGGTGTTCAACACGCGATACCAGGCTCTGCACAAGCTGGGCTGCGGCGCCTTTGCCACCGTCTGGCTGTGCCAGGACATGAGGTGAGGTGCTAACAGCCTTCTGGGGTGCTGGGAAAGGGTGGCTGATCTCTTGGGCAGGCCCAGCCCCTCTCACAGAAGCCTGGGAGCACATCAGCATCCTTGCAAGCACAGGGAAACCTGGCAGCGATTTCAGTGGGGTGCAACAAGCAGAGCTGGTCTCCGGAAACCAGAGAACATAAATGAGGTGGGATCGGTCCTTGCTCTGCATTTGTTCTTCTCATTTAGATCCTGCAGTCCACATGTGCTGAACATCTTCTCTCCAGCCCCTTGCAGGTCCCCGGGGGCAGCTGTGCTGCCAGTCGCTGGCAGCGTCGCCCACAGGCCTGGGGTGCTGCAGACTAAGGCTGTTTGCAGGAGGGCAGCACCCTCCCAGGGGAGCTCCAGCGCTGGGTGGCTGGGAGAAGGGGAGGTGCTGCTGGTTGGGGCCACGCCGGCATGTGTTGGCTGGCAGCTGTGATTCATTTCCCAGGAGGAAGAAACATGTAGCTGTGAAGGTCCTGAAAAGCAGGGAAGGCTTTGCTGAGGCTGCCCAGGACGAGGTCGCTCTCCTCCGCTGCGTATGTATCTCCTGGGGCTCTGTGCTTTGCTCCATGGTACAGCTGCTGAGTTCAGGTCTGAGTATCAGCCTCATCGTCCCTTCTCCCTCTGAGTCTCAGTCTGACGAGTTAGGTGAGAAACAAGAAAAAAACCAAACAGGGAATTCATAGAAATCACCCTGACTCAGCACTGGCCTCTGAAACAGGCACCTTCTCCTCCCCTTGTCATACTGCGACATGCTGGCTGGGTCCCATTTGCCCTGTCAGCCCATTTCTTTCAGTTGAGGCCGAAATCCAGTAAATAGGAGGAACCTGCAGAAAGACTTAAGGTAGATAATCAACAGAAAAAGGTGGTAACATTCTTAAGCGGGACATAGGAGCATGTCCACTCTTTGTGGTGTTCCCAGGGCATTGCTCTATCACAACACTGATACTGAAGTAAAAGGAAGTATCTGAGGGGAAAAAAAAAGCAGGATGTAGCAAAAATGCAAGAAACGTCTGAAGTCAGGCAGCTTCCTTCTGCCTTTGCTAATGGATGTGGTAATTAGGTGCTTGTATCTGGGTCTCAGCTAGTTGCCTTTGAAGATGGCTTGACCTGCTACTTCTAGAAAGCTCATGCTTACAATTCTCTGAGTTTGCCTAAATACAAAGTTACATCAGCTTTACATGAGTAAAAGCCATTACATTTTGCATTTCAAATTACTCTGAGGCCTTTCTCCAACAGGTTTGAGAAAGGTTTAGTTCATACCTGTAAATCTGTAGGTCCCATCCAAAGGGACATGAGCCAGACTCAGTGATGCAAGAGGAAGCACCAAGTGGCACTAATTTAATCAGAGGGCTGCTTTTCTACACATCAGCACAATCCTGCACACAGACTGAGCCTTACCCTTGATTTATTACTAATTCTCTCTGAAAGACACGCCTTCCCATTCAGCAGAATGCAGCTGCTTCCCAGGGCTGTTCCCACCGGCGCAGGGTGGTGGGTGCCTGCAGAGCTGCTGGGAGGGGTGATCTGGTCTCCATGGCTGCTCACCTCTTGTCGTGCCAGCACAAACCTCCTGACGCTGGTGCAGGCAGATCCAGCAGCTGTACAGCCTTCCAACCCAAAATCCCAACGGTTATGGCTGCAAAGATTAAAAAAAAACCAAACAAACAAAAACCAAACAAACAACAAACCACAACAAAAAACGCAATGAATTGCTGTAGCAGGATCAGTGTTCTGCGAGAGCTGGGGATACTGGAGCACCCATGCTGGAGCAGACCAGGGGTTCATCCAGCCCGGCGCCCTGGGCCAGCAGCAGATGGGTGTAAGGACAAGCTAAGCATGGGGTGCTGCTCCCACTGAATGCTCCCCCTGGCCTACAGCAGTTTCCAGCTGGAGATTTCTTGGGCCAAGGGTGATGCCTGTGTGGGCTGTAATTCCCTGTGGATTTACCTTCACGAGACCTGCCCTGCCTTCCTGTGAGTCCGTGCGGGCTTCAGCAGCCCACTGTGACAGAAACTGCCACCAATTACCCACAAGCTATGTCAAGAACCACCTCCTCTGCTTTGTTTCTGAACTTCCCAAGTTCTAGGTTTGATGCTCCCTTGTTCTTGTCCAAAAGATCTGTGTTCACCCCCTCCACTATCACTCTGTATCTTACAGATTTCTGCAGTACTTGCCCAGAAATGGCCTTTTTATTCAGCCCAAAGCAGCCTATTTTGCTGGGTTCCTCCAGACATGGAACCAGCTCTCCACCCCAGTAGGAGAGGTAGCCTTCAAGTGGTTTGAAGACAACCACGAGGTCTCTGCAACCCTTTGTGAGAAATTTCTGAAGGTGTGTTTTAAAAGGCGATGTCCCAACCTGCTGCTGCTGGACAGAGCCATCCCCGCTCTGAGGACAAGGAGCAGAGGCTGCAGAAGGACAAAGGAAATGGACAGCCATCACTGCTGGGAGCTGTGGTCTTGGGGGAATCCCCTTCCAGCACAAGCAGGAGCACTTTCTGGGCCTGCATGGGATAGAATAAGCAGTGGGAAGTGTGCTAGACGCTATTAGCAGGATCAGTTTGAGTTATTCGGACACTGTAAGGGTGATGGTCCAACCTGGCCAAGAGCTAAACATACAGAAACTCATTCTTGGTTGACAGGCTCTGCTTGTGTGTTTGGAGCTTGGTTTTCCTGATGCCGCTTTCGTGGAGTTTGTCACAAAGTACCAACTCCTGGAAGAGAAAGTCTGTAGAACAGGCTCAAATGGGTGCAAGATGTCCTTCTGCATATATATGTCTGTAATTGCAGCTTTCTTGGAATCCTCCTCCTCAGGTGAGCAGTATGAAGAAGAAGGACCAGGCAGGAGAAAACATTGTCTGTTTGTTAGACGACTTCAGAATGATTGGAGAGAACGGCTTCCATATCCTTCTGCTGAGAGTGCTGCAGCTCTGGGTCAGCAAAGCCTGGGCCTGCCTCAGAGAGTTGCAGGATGGTGTAAAACCAAGTGCTGTGCTCCCGTGAGGAGGATGAGCAAGGCAGCAGCTACACTGGGGCACCGGGAGGTGGCTGGAGGGGAGAGGCTGGGTAAGGAGATATTTGGCTGCTCTGGTGAAGAGCAGAAGGCTGGTGGTAGCATCTTCTCTCTGTTAGTGAATCCCTGACTCTTTCCCACATGTGTGCTTGGTATTTGAGGCGCTGGGCCCTTCCCTGCGATGTCTGATGGGCGACTACGCAGCCCAGGGACTGCCCTTGCCTTTTGTGAAAAAATCTTTACAGCAGGTGAGAATTTAGCTGGAACAGGGTGGGGGCACCAAGGGATTGTTTCTGGGGGACACACCTTATTCTTCATCCTGGGGTCATCTGCCACGAACTCCACGGCATCCAGCCATGGGTAGCACTGACAGGTCCAGCAGCTTCCTGCAGGGTAGCACCAAAGGCTGCTCGACGTCTCCCTCAGCACTGGTGTCTTTCCAGGGCTTTCTAAATCGCTGGTTCAGCTGGCTGGTCCTCCACCCATGTTGAGGTTTTCCTGCTCAGAGCCAGCTCTTCCTTCATCCCCTGTGAGGATGTGGTGTGCCAGTCAGATCATCAAAACTGCATTCTTATGCGTTGGCTGGGAAGAGCTAAGGAATGGGAAACCTGAGTGAGGCCTCCAAACAGTTAAAATTACATTTTGCCTTTCATGCTGAGATTTATCAGAAGTCTGCACACTTGCCAAGATGAAGATTTGCTACCCTGATTCCTGTGCCCTTCTAGGGAGACTAAGAAAGAGAACAGCTTCCTCCTTCATCCTCTATTCTGGAATAGCCTCTTCTTCCTCTAAAGAAGCTCCATTAACACCTGAATAAGTTACACAAAAATGCAGTGGCATTAATCTCTGTGCCCCCTTTCACACCCAAGCCTTTTGCTTGATCCATTCCCTTATCTGCTTTAATTGTAACATCGCAGAATCCTTTTTTTTTCCCCGCTTCAGATCAGCTCTGGGGCAGTATTTACTTCTGATTCATTCCAGTTTAGCTATTTAAATCTTTCCCCGCGTTTCACAGTTACCATTTAAGGTTGGTTATTTCCCTGGGGCTGGTGTTCATCCCAGAATAGAATTTGATAATACAGAGAATATTTGCCAGCCCTTTATGACTGACCAGAGTGTTTAAAAAACAAATGTAACTCTCCCAGTAGCCTTTTCGCTGTTATTGATTTCTGATAGCGACCGTTTCTCTCTGGTGGGTGTTGTTTATCTCTCCCCCGTGACAGGCCAGACTCTCCCTGCCCCATCGTAAGCTGTTCTCTCCCTACATGGCTCTCCTGCACTGCACTCAAGTCCTCTCTACACACACTCACTCATGGTTTTTCCCGCCTGGGTTGTGCTGCACCTCCTTTTCTTTCCCTGTACAATGGGACGCCCTCCCATGTCACTCTGTAACTGGCCCCCAACTTCCACTGGGATGATAATCAGCAAGGACACTACAGCTCTTTTCCTTCCATGCCAGAACATCCACAACTTGCATACTCACGGTGCTGACTGCTCTGGGGGGGCAGGGGAGGCAGTGGGGACTCTCGCCTTGCTGACGTGACTCGCTGCCTGCTCGCCCAGGTGCTGGCAGGGCTGCACTTCCTACACAAGCACTGCCGCATCATCCACACGGACATCAAACCAGAGAACGTCTTGCTCTACGGATGTGACAAAATTCTCCAAAGGCTTCAGCCCGATACGTTTGACTGCGGCCAGAGAACAGATCTGAGGGTAAAGAGACCAGGTGAGCACTCCAGGGTGGTTTTAACAAGAAAAAAGACTTGTGTGTTTACCACCAGGAGGGAAACAGAGGCAGCAGGTACAAGTTCCCATGTCCTACATGGCCGGTACAAAATAGTGCAGCCAGCTTATGCTCCTGAGAGGCTTCTCCTATCTCTGTTTAATACAAACATTGGGCTGAGCGGCTACAAGCTTCTCATGGCACCTACAGAACCGTGGTCTTGCAGGTAGGTTTGTGTGGAGGACGACAGATCGCGGGGAACTGTTAACACCACAACCACGGAGCTAATTCTTACGGCTTTAGGTGCAGGATAGTTCCCTTGAGTCCAGTGTTTTCAGCTGCTGAAAGGTTTACATATAAAATGGTTTGATCAGGAAGCTGTAAAATGCTTCTGCTCTTTATTTCCCCTATTTCTGAGGTTTGTGGGAGACTTGTATGTACTGCTAATCTTCAAGGCCTTTGGAGACATAATTTATTTGCAGAGAATGGTGTGAATATTGAGTAAGATGTAGGGCTGGAGAGTTTCTTGAGAGATCAGCTCATCTCCCAGCAATGAGACCCTTTTTATTATCCTCACACGATGTTCTCCCATGAGCATTTCTCCCATGACGGTGCTGTTTTGTCTCTCAAACTCCAGGGCAATCAGGGAATGCTAAATTAGTGACTGAGTCTTTTGCTTAGAGCAGAAAAGCATAATATTAGGCACAGACTGACAGCTCACTAAATCAGTAAACCAAAAATTACCCTTTTCCCGGATCATATGAAAAAGTAACCTTTACGGTGCTTGCCAAGCAGGTTGTGTCCAAGGTCTGTGACAGCCAGGATTGCTGAGGGCTAAGGAGGCATTACAGATGTTTTGTGTCTGACTAGTGCTGGTAGAATGTGTTCTCCTCTGGGCCCACAGTAATTTAACCTCAGCGTGAGAGGAGCCTTGCCGCAGCACAGTAGCCCACAGTCACACCGCTCCACGCCAAGCTACTGTCCTCCCAAACATCCTCGTTGATTTTGACTGGATACCAGCTCTTCCTTTGTGTTTCATCAAAAAACAGTGGTGGCATTTTATGGATTATAAAAAGCATTTTAGGACCTTTTAGGCTGAAAAACTTCAAAGCCAGGCATACATGCCTCTCCTGTGGTAAGTGATGCATAGCTGTTGGTTTGGAAAGATGCGATTTCTCTCTGTTCTTTCCATCTAGGAGGTGATCGATTGGAAGAATCTGATTTAATGAGCATAGAAGTGAAAATTGCAGATCTGGGCAGCGCATGCTGGACAGTGAGTCTTGCTCTGTGTCTCAGTGCCATGACAATACGGGATGCTGTGTGCTTCTTTCCATCCCACCCTGCATGTCTCTCATTTTACAGCTGAATAGCTCTTTCAGTGTGCTGAGGAGATGCCGATTTCGGGGGGGTGTTATATTCAGCGCTCCGAGCTGGGCACTGTACTCCTGGAGACACTGCCAACTTTAGACATTTCTTCAGCTTACAGTTAGTCTCTACAACTGGAAATTCAAAACCATGTTCAGCGCTGGGAGATAAATTCCCCCGGTGTCAGCGGGGCCGAGAACGTGCCTGCTGTGCCCTGCGCAGAGTTCAGAACGTGTATTCAGTTCTGCCCCGCAGCGTCCTCCTCGCTCCGCGGGAAGCAAGTGAGCACAAGCCTTGATGTTACTCGTTTCCGGACGCTCACCAAAGGGAGTTTGTTTCTGTTTCAGTACAAGCCATTTTCCAAGGAGATACAGACCCAGCCTTACCGTGCCCTGGAAGTGCTTCTTGGATTAGACTACAGCACTCCGGTGGATATCTGGAGCACGGGCTGCCTGGTAGGAGTGGGGACAAGGCTGTGCGTGTGCGGGAGGTGACTGACGCTAACAGGCCAGGGGCAGTGCCTCCGCAGCACCCACCTACACACGCTGCACTTAAAGCAAAACTTCCTTGCTGGGAAGAAAAACGGGGCTGTCTGCACTCAGGCACTTTGGAGTGAAAATATGCTGCTGCTGAAACTCACTCTTAGCACTGCAAGGCAATTCACGCTCCACGTATGTTAACTCATGGGCTTGACTGAATTGGGCACATAGTGCTCTTCATCCTGACAGAGCTCAAGGTGCTGTCTCACCATGGTACAGATAAAATCAGTGTATTTCCATATTTTAGGAACAGTTTTATGTGACAGCAAGGGAAATTGGTACTATCAGTTAATGAGGCAGAAAAACTCCAAGTCCATTAGTGAATTAACAATGTGACTCCATTTCTAGGCATTTGAAATGGCAACTGGGGAGCGTCTATTTGATCCTCAACCTGGGAAATATTTCTCCAGAGATGATGGTAGGTCTCCATCAGTTTTACTCATTTCACTGACAGAAGTGTCACAATTGTTCTGTCTAGATGTGTTCTCTCTCCCTCTGTCCAGATCATGTTGCTCGTATTATTGAACTTCTGGGAAGAATTCCTCCTCAAATTGCTTTCTCCTGGAACAAGTCAACAAAATTTTTCAGCAGGCCAGGTAAGAATTGTAGTAAGGAAGTCTACTCTAAAAAACACTGTGGGTCTCTGACACGCTCCTATTCAGCTCACACTGAAAAAGCCCAAAAAGTTCTGTTACACAATGCAGGCTACAAGCAGGGACAGAAGACAAGTGGAGATTTCATAAAGAGAGGTAATACTCCGCCCTGCCTACTTTTGCAATCCAGGAGTGTTCCAGGAATGAATGCAAAATCCTGAAAAACGGTCATAGCAAACACCCAACAGGGAAAACATTTCCATTCCTTCTCCTTTGGAAAGAATGGAAATAGGGACAGGAAATAGCTACATGCCAGGAAGGCTGAAGAGTGCGTAACTGGCTGGATTTCACCCGCTCACTGGCAGGGAACAATGATGATCAGGAACGGGACACTCACATCCGTAGCTGCTATATTTAGTCTTCTGACCCAACTGTAACAACTCTTCTGTTTTATTCCCCCCAATTCCTTTCCCTTTGACTCATTAGCTGGAAATCCTTGTCTTTGACTTCAAGGCATCGGGGCTCCATCCTGCAATTTAGTCTATCCTTCTATTTCTCTGCTTTCACACTCACCCGCCCCAGCCTACCTACAATTCAGTGTTGAGCCCTAGTCCCATGCTGCAGTTCAACAAGCACATTCACATCCCTTGTTCACACTCATTCCTTCTATGGTGCTCAAAAGAAATGAGTCAAAACTAGTTCCTGGTCTATATTCATTCTCTGTGTGAACCAGTCGGGCCTGACCACACATGCCTAACCTGAATCACTGCATTTACACCATGTGCTTCTGGGGACAAGTATAGCTCCTTGGTCAGTAGTGATACTCTTCTGGGCCCAACTAGCAGGCAGAAAACAAATTTAACATTGGTGTTTTGCAAGCTCTGGCACTGAAATGGCCTGATGCATTCTGGGTTGCATGTGGACAGGCAGAGGGAACAAGCAGCAACAGCTCTGGCATGGCTGTTCTGGCAACACTCTGCCACTCTTCTATGTTCTCATCGAAGAACTACTCAGCAAGGGGGAGACCTAACACTGGCTTGGAAAGATGGTTTCTGAGAAACACCCGAGAGCCAAACCTGCAAGGGCTGGTGAAGCGTATAGAGAGGAAGATTGAAAGGAGAAGGAAGGGACCCTGCAGGGTGGTTTGGATCAGTCGTGTGAGGTGAGGGGCGGCAGACTCTCAGTCCTGCAAGTGTAATTAAGGGGCCGTGCTTACGCTGTCTTTGCTAGGTGCTCTTCTGCGCCTCTCCAGGCTTTGCCCCCGCAGTCTCCACAGCATCCTGGCGGACAGACACAACTGGGCAAAACACGAGGTTGCCCCCTTCACCAGCTTCCTCCTGCCCGCGCTGCACTACGCGCCCGAGCGCCGCGCCACAGCCGCCCAGTGCCTGCACCACGCCTGGCTGAGCGCCCCGTGACCGGCGCTGCGGGGGTGCTGGCCGGTGG